AAAAAAAAAATGATGACACAGATATTATTACTTTCATGACGCTTGCAATTTGTTGAGAGCAAGACCTCAAATACTAGCTCTTCCATTGCCTCTCGGTCAGTGGTTCTCAACCCTTGCTGTACGTTAACATTACTGTCTTGGAAACTTTTAGAAAATACAGTGTTTAGCTTCACCCCAATTAAATAGGAGTATCTGTGGGCAATGGGAGTACACAAGGGAGCTCGATAAACACTGCACGAATGAATGCATATACAGATCCATCGCTCAGGAGAGAGAGGAAGGCTGGAGGACAGGACAGGAAACTCATCAGCATTAAGGTAGAAGCCAAACCCATAGGAATGATACCACAAGAGAGAACACATGGAGCCTAGGGAAAAACTCTAAGGGATGAGGACATTTGAGGCACAGCGATAAATAGGAGCCAAGAAAGGGAACTGAAAAGGAAGAGCCAAAGAGGTAGGAGGAAGGGAGTAGGAAGTCAAAAGAAGAATGTATTTTAAGAAAGGAATGATTGACAGAGAGGAAAATACTTATTAACAAGCTAGCACAGTAAGAATTGACAAGTATATATTGGATTTAGCCACAAAAAAGTAGCAGATAACTCAACCAAAAATAGTTTCAAAAATGTGTTATATTAATCTCACATCCGAAGTAGACTTGGAGCATTTCGCTAATGTGGAGTATTCCTAACAGAGTACCTGAGAGAAAGAAGTTTTCAAATATAATCTCCCAACTATATTTATTACAACTAACAAAAAAACAGGCTATTAGGTAGACATTTATACTGGCTTAGAATCTGAGACAAAAAAATTAGAAGGAAATTCTAAGTCTTCAACAGTATTCCTGGGTCAACTCTAAGTGCTCCCTTCCTTAACGCAACTTGTTTTCCAGGAAAAACATCTTTAACAGTCACATTTTCACTCAAATTCTTATTTTAGAAGATACTTAAAATCATTATTTAAATCTCAGCACTATTTTTGTAAGTATCATCTTTTTTTTAAAGATATTTATTTGAGACAGAGAGAGAGAAAGTGAGAGAGCACAAGCAGGGGGAGCAACAGAGGGAGAGGGAGAAGCAGGCTCCCCGCCAAGCAGGGAGCCCGACGTGGGGCTCAATCCCAGGACCCTGGGATCATGACCTGAGCCGAAGGCAGACGCTTAATGACTGAGCCACCAGGTGGCCCAGAAGTAATTTACTTTAAAAAATGTATGTACAATTAACAGGTTTCCTTTCACTTATTCCTTAATTTTAAAGACTAAAGTTAATGCCTCCATATAGCCTACATGCTCAGGAGAGACTGATGGTAACACAGCACCTCGGTCATACCGTCACAGCAAGAAGGACATGCGCCGGTGGACCGACTAACCCGACACG